ATATATTTGTATTACATATACAACACTAAACACGTTATTGCCTCTGAGCAATAAATAAATATTGTTTTGATATATATATGACCTGACTATATGAAGTGTCGTCAGTCACGTATTTTATATATATACATATATATATATATATACATATATATATATATATATATATATATATATATATATATATATATATGAATATAAAATACGTGATTGACGACACTTCATATAGTCAGGTCTAGGCGACATAGTATATAGTAGATTTAGTATACAGTAGATATAGTATAGTATACAGTAGTTAGTATAGATGATAGACATCAATGTGTAATAATCAGAGATAAGTACATAACATCAAGACAATACTCCATATCCTCGGGCATATAGGCAGACAGTATAGGTATAGTGTAGATGATATCAATGTATATTAAACAGAGGTGAATACCATTAAATAGATGATTGTCTCTGAGGCAGATTGTTATATATAAGTGATAAACAATACTTCATATACTCATACATTTCCATATAGTCTAGATATAGTATAGCTGATATACATGGATATATAATAAACCGCGATGGGTGTATTCCATGAATACTTTACTGTCTCTGAGACAGATGGTTATATATATAAGGGATAGATAATACATAGCTCAGTAATATATACTATTCCTTATACTCAGGTACGATACACATAAATGTGAAATACGCAGAGCTAATAATGGAACTTCAGATCAGAAGTGTGAACTGGAGAGCCATTGATATGTACACAATTGATCCACATATTTGTGTAGGGGGCAGATAAATCCCCATGATAAGTCCATAGATAATATATACATAATTGTATGTAATGAGTAGATAGACAGCAGTGCAATAAACATTGCAGCATGCATAGTGTATGTAAATGTTGGAGGAGACCATCCCTCCCATTAAGTGGACTCCCTAATGAAGCCCCCTCCAGTAATGAAGACCCCCCCCTCCCCCTGGGCTCTTTAGATGTTTGGAGTGAATTAGGGAATGTGGATTTTCAGGGAGTGACCAATAGCAGCGATGCTCCGGCTGTGGGCGCTGTCTGATTGGCTGGCCGGGGGTTATTAGCTGTGTTCATGTCTAGTGAAGGGAGTCCAGCTGGCGCCAGGGCTGACATAGGATGCTGCGGGATGTTCTAGGGGAGGCCAGAAGCACAGAGGCTGCCATCTGAGTCACAGCCTCCCCTTCCCTGCTCTGCTCCTGGCTGGAGATCACTCTGCCGATCCTGCTCTGGGGACATCACAAGGCGACATTCCGCAGTAAGTACTCCTCTACTGCTGCTGGCACCCCAGCTCTCTGCCCCTGCCAGCCTGCCTGCAGCCCTCATCCAGGGATCCAAGGTCTAATTATCACCAGAGATTGCTCCTTCCATGGATACAACAGTCTTCTTATATCCATATACCAGCCCTGACACTGCAATGTATCAGATCTGCTCTCTGTTACTGTGTAACCTCAGCTCCGCTACTGCTTGTGCAGGCGCTATAACTGCTACTGCTTTACATCAGCAACCCTATTCCTCTGTATTATGTGTCCACAGCTCCGCTACTGCAGCTGAGGCGCTATGAATACCTTGGGTCGCTCTACTGCTTTATACAATGTATCAGTAACTATTCCTGTGTATCCACAACCCCGCTACTGCATGTGAGGCGCTATGAGTACCCTTGGTAGCTCTACTGCCTAATACTAGGTATATGTAACCCCATTCCTGTGTATCCACAACCCCGCTACTGCATGTGAGGCGCTATGAGTACCCTTGGTAGCTCTACTTATACTATGTATCTGTAACCCTATATCTGCCTAATACTGTGAGGCGCTATATGTAACCCCATTCTACTGCCTAATACTAGGTATATGTAACCCCATTCCTGTGTATCCACAACCCCGCTACTGCATGTGAGGCGCTATGAGTACCCTTGGTAGCTCTACTGCCTTATACTATGTATCTGTAACCCTATATCTGTGTATCCACAACCCCGCTACTGCATGTGAGGCGCCATGAGTACCCTTGGTAGCTCTTTTACTGCTGTATATACTATGCATGTATATGAGTACTGCCTACTTACTATGTACCCCCCATTCCTGTGTATCCACAACCCCGCTACTGCATGTGAGGCGCCATGAGTAGCCCTGCGCTGCTTTCTGCAGCTTTTCCAGGACCACATAACCTTCTCAGTAGTAATGCTGAGTTATATGCAGAGTCAGGACCCCAAACTTTTGGACACTTTACCCCGGACCCTTTATTTATCAGTAGTCCCACTGAGTTATGTCATTTGTGAAGCGTTTAGGTTTTTGTACGAATTTATGATTTAGTTAATGTATCTATGTTCTATCATTATATATATATTATAGATTTATATTATAAATATATATATTATAGCAGCCCCCTAAGAGTTGGAGAATCTGATCAGCTCTGCTGTTAGATACGATGCATTAGCAACTGTCACTTCATTGAAAAAAAAAAAAGAGGAAAGAAACATTTGTTGGAAATGCAAGCAGTACCATTGCTTGATATGACGTATTGGTCACAACAGCGATGTTCAGGGTGGATTGTTATCAGGAGCATTGCTGAGCGACGATGTATTTTTCTTCATTTCTGGTTGATACATTGGCGTCCTAGTGATACATTGTTGTGGTATCTATGTGATAATATTATTAGCAGCTGTATTCTAATGATACAAAATATTTACGCATAATTATTATATCTATTTATTATTAGGAGCAGTGGTATAGCGATACGAAGTATATAAACATTATGATAGTGTCTATGTAATATCATGTTATCAGCAGTATTATAGTGAAACAAAGTATACACTATGACTGTGTAATAAATTATAGGCAGTATTGTAGTAATACAAGGTAGCTATCCTATATTTTGGTGTTTATGTAATATATTATCGCCAGTATTTGGTGAAACATAGTATGTATACACTATTATGAGGTCCACGTAATATATAGATCCAAAATATCTACACACGATTATAATGTCTATAATATATTATTAGCAGTACTAAGTATCACTATTATAGTGTCTATGTAATATATTATTATGAACTGTGTAAAAAGAATACACTATCATGGTGCCTATGTCACATATTATTGTCAATACTGTAGTAATAAAAGGTAACTATCCCTTATTTTGGTGTTTATGTAATAAAGTATCGCCAGTATTTTAGTGAATTACAGTATCTATACATTATTAGGGTGTCTATGTCATATATTATTGCCAGTATTGTGCTGATACTAAGTATCTCTACACTATTGTGGTGGCGAGGTAATATATTACTAGCAGTTTTTTATTGATACAAAGTATTTAAACACTGCTATTGTGTCTATGTATTATTAGGATCACTGATACCTTTACGTAATAATTGGGAACCGGATTATAGTGATACAAAGTATCGATACATTATTGTAGGGTCTATTTTATATATTAGTTACAATATTACAGTGATACAAAGTATCTATTATTGCAAGGTCTATTAAATATACAAGTATCAGTATTATAGTAATACAAAGTATCTATACATGATTGTAGGGTCTATTTAATATATTAGTATCAGTATTATAGTAATACAAAGTATCTATACATTATTGTAGGGTCTATTTAATATATTAGTATCAGTATTATAGTAATACAAAGTATCTATACATTATTGTAGGGTCTATTAAATATACAAGTATCAGTATTATAGTGATACAAAGTATCTATACATTATTGTAGGGTCTGTTTAATATATTAGTTACAATATTACAGTGATACAAAGTATCTATTATTGCAAGGTCTATTAAATATACATACAAGTATCAGTATTATAGTAATACAAAGTATCTATACATTATTGTAGGGTCTATTTAATATATTAGTATCAGTATTATAGTGATACAAAGTATCTATACATTATTGTAGGGTCTATTATACAAGTATCAGTATTATAGTGATACAAAGTATCTATACATTATTGTAGGGTCTATTTAATATATTAGTGTCAGTATTATAGTGATACAAAGTATCTATTATTGCAAGGTCTATTAAGTATACAAGTAACAGGTCTATTAAATATCAAGTCTATTAAATATACAAGTATCAGTATTATAGTGATACAAAGTATCTGTATGTTTATTGTTGAGTCTATTTAATATATTAGTAACAATATTACAGTGATACAAAGTATCTATACATTATTGGAGGATCTGTTTAATATATTAGTAACAATATTACAGCTATACAAAGTGATACAAAGTATCTATACGTTATTATAGGGTCTATTTAATATATTACAGTGATACAAAGTATCTATTATTGTAAGGTCTATGTAATATATTAGTATCAGTATCATAGTGATAACAAAGTATCTATACATTATTGTAGGGGTCTATTTAATATATTAATAGCAATTTTATAGTAATACAAAGTATCTATATACCATTATGGTGTCTATGTAATATTTTATTAGCTGCTTATATTGGTACAAAGTGTCGATACACGATTATATCTTTTTTTAATAATAATGTTAGGAGCAAATATTATAATGATACAAAGTATCTATGTACTTTTTTTTATTGTTTATGTAATAGTATAGGTGCAGTATTGCAAAGACTCACTGTTATGGTGTCTGTATTTTTATATTATTAAATAGCTGTATTATAGGGATACAAAGTATTTACTTTTTGTTGTCAATGTCAATACTTTATTAGTAGTAGTAGTATTGATGTCTGTGTATGTTGTGATTGGGATTATTGTGGTGATATAAAGTATGGAAAGTGTCTCTGATATGTGGATTTTGTTTTTTTCGGATTTATGACAGGGGATTGATTGGTGACCCTTTTTTTTTTTCTTTATACAGGTGCTCTTGGTCGATCTGCAGGTCCCCAGGATTTAGAGGAATTCACTTTCGGTTTTTTAGACTCCAGTGGCTGAAATACCCATAAGTCATTAATCAGAATTTTTTTTTTCCGGGGAGTTTGGGTGTATTGGGGAACAAATGATGGAGGTGGCCACCGACCAGCCTCGCTGGATGGCACATCACGCTGTGCTCAATGGGCAGCACCCAGAGAGCCACCACCCCGACTGGCACACAACTACATGGAACCGGCTCAGCTGCTGCCCCCTGATGAAGTGGATGTGTTTTTCAACCATCTGGATTCCCAGGGAAATCCCTACTATGCCAACTCTGCCCATGCCAGGGCAAGGGTCTCCTACAGCCAGGCGCATGGTAAGACCCGGACACTACTGTCTATTGTGCGCTATAGGCACTGTCTGTGTGTTCTCTGCACTCTTCCTCGTTTCTGAGCGGCAGCAGACAGTAACCCTTACATTACCAGAGGGAGCATATGTGGAATCTAGACGATGATTACCATTGTTATTGATTACATTTTATTGTCTCGGAGGTTTAGAGAACACCAGAAAGTGGGCATTGCAAGCTCAGAGCTCCTTCCACAATTATGGAGAGATCAGAACTATAAGTAAAGGAAGGGGGGTGGGGGCATAAAGGAGGGGGGTGCCCCATAAAGTACGGAAGTAGGACTAACCCTAAAATATGAAATGGAAAGAATTCTGTGCGGTTCTTGGCAGGGAAGCTGACTCTCCTTTCAGTTTTCTGGGCCTGGCTTAGTACATAGCGTTCTGGGTCTGTCTGCGCTAAGCCTCAGGATTATCGATTGGGGAACCCTTGATCAGTTCCTATATTCGCAATTATAATTTTCTTTTTGTCCCTGTGCTCTAGGAGAAGAGACAACAACTGTGTGATCAATATATATATTATTGTATATTTTTTAACCCAGCCTTATAGTCTATTCATAATTAAATTCATAGGTGACAGTGATCAGGATTGTGTAGGATATAAATTCTATATGGAGGCACATTTTGTACATTGGGGGGTCATGCAGCAGAATTATATTACGGTGTTTTGTAGCTTTCAGATATTGTAACTTATATGCATACAGATGGATAGATAGATAGATATAGATAGTTATACAGTATACATTCTTATTCATGTGACTATCTATCTATCTATCTATCTATCTATCTATCTATCTATCTATCTATCTATCTATCTATCTATCTATCTATCTATCCATCTATCTGTCTGTTATGTTTATCTGTCTGTCTATCCACCTAATATATATGCAGGTTACATGCAGACCTTTACAGTTCTATAAAGTAAAATAAATAAATAAATAAAATATATATATATATAAAAGCAACACTTTTTTTTTTATTATTTTATAATGCACTAAAGGTCTACACATGTCACCTGTACTCTATGAAAGGTGTGCATATGTGGTAATAAAAAATACAGGAACAGACAAACCCCAAGAATTATAATAAACAGGGGTTTATGTGTTTTTGTTGCAAGCAAATGCACATGACATATTTTTTATATACATTATTTACATTATTGTATAGATGATATATGTGTGAATAGTGACTGTCAAGAATGCACTTTTTTATATATATATATATATATATTATATATATATATATATATAGAGAGAGAGAGAGAGAGAGAGAGAGAGAGAGAGAGTTTTTTTTTTAAATATTAAAAATATTTTATTATATACTGTATCTATTATATGCAGTTTATGTGTCTGTGTATGTATATATATACTTTTGTGTGTCTGTTAATTATTTTGTTTATTTAGACGTATATAGTTTGCATTTATGTTGGCATTATGTATGAGTGTATTTTATGTATATAATTGTGGGATGTGGATGCCATATGACTGATGCCCTTGTCCTGTTCCCACAGCTCGCCTGACAGGCAGCCAGATGTGCCGGCCACACATCCTGCACAGCCCTGGACTTCCTTGGCTGGAAAGTGGCAAGTCGGCCCTGACTGCTGCCCACCATCACAACCCCTGGACGGTCAGCCCATTTTTTTACATTTTATTTAAGACCCTTTGCACCCCACCGGTGGCTCCCTGTATCCGGGAGGGGGCTCCTCGGGGGCCCCATCTTCCTCCCACTCCAGCCCGCACCTGTTCGGCTTCCCCCCCACCCCACCCAAGGACGTGTCCCCCGACCCTGGCAGCGCAGCCTCCCCAACCTCCTCCCGGGCGGAGGACAAGGACAGTATCAAGTACCAGGTGTCCCTGTCTGAGGGGATGAAGATGGAGGGGGGCAGTCCACTGCGGAGCAGCCTAGGACCCATGGGCGCTCAGCCATCTACCCACCACCCTATCCCCACCTACCCATCCTACGTACCGGCAGCACACGACTACAGCAGTGGTCTCTTCCACCCAGGCAGCTTGCTGGGGGGACCAGCTTCCAGCTTCACCCCAAAACAGAGGAGCAAGAGCAGATCGTGTTCAGGTGAGAGCCTTTCCTTGTTACCTGGCTACCCTAGTCTAATGGTCATGTACACCTGTCACTGGCTAATCAATAACATAGCCATCCATTGTCAAGACAACCTTCTCTTTATTCCTGGCTACCTAACTACCTGTTCCTAACACATGACCAACCATCCCATAATCCAGTCCAAACTGATGATCAATAACCCCTACACTCATCCACAGACACATTAGACACGATAATCAATACCTGATCACCTCTTCACACTTACACAAAGATAATTAAAACCCAACCGTTCCCCATTGTGTTCAATTCTCTAAAGATTACCAATATCTTATAATCACACCAACCTTAATATACACAGGGATGTATCAATACCTGGTCAGCTGCCTGTTCATCTATACCCACCGGTGTTATCAATGCTTAACCAGTCACCTTACACCTTTAGAAATGATCAATAGCAAGGCATCATTGGCTCCTCCATACCCACAGCTATACAAATACTGCCTTTAATATACTTGTGAGCAACCAGATCAATAATCCATTCACAGACCCTTTCATTGCTCTTTTTTTTAATACAGTGACCCACCTAATCCACCTGGGTGTCCTCTCCTTGTCATTGCTGGGGACTTTGTCATTGCTATTAACTGTCTGGTGCACCCATAGCTGCCTGTGCAACACACCAGCAAGTAGCCTGTATTTGTTACAACAGGAGCACATCTAAATGGGCATTATGTTTATACATAGGTGGCACAGGCAATGATGAGGCTGATTTACTAATGGAGTTTTTTTTTTAGAATGTGAAGATTCACTTCAATTATGCAATTATGTACAGATGAAATAAATAAACAGGAATTTGCCTTTCACACAATTGGGTAATTGATGAGAATCTTCATTCTATTTCTTTATTTTTTTGAGTGAACATTTTTAACTCCTATAGTAAATCAGCAGTGCATGGTGAGTTGGATACACTGCAGGTCTATGACATCATGCCTTTAGAACCTGGGTGGGTGAATGTAGCTTCAGGGCTGGGCTAATAGATTAAATATGACATTATTATTATTACATTCTACCTGCAGGGCTTCAGTGCTAGACTTCCCAATGTGTCTTCATGAATATACATGAATTTTTGCTAACCTTAGGTATCTGCACATGTTTTAAAGGTGCACAGTAATATATATATATATATATATATATTATATATATATATATATATATAATTATAGGCGCTTTATAAATACTGTATAATATATATATATATATAATTTATTTAGCTATATTTACTAGTCTTAATATATAGTATTATAGCATATATTATAGTAATAAAATTTATGGTTTAATATATATTTTTCTTGTTATTATTAGTTGTGATAGTAGAATTTTTTAATGGTTGGTAATATATTAATGATCTATCTATCTATCTATCTATCTATCTATCTATCTATCTATCTATCTATCTATCTATATATTATATTATATATATATCTGTACTAGTCTTATAGGGGCATAGTAATATATTATTATTATTAGTACCTATTGCACAAGTCACAAAGGTGCACAGTAAAATAAATATATATATATATTTATATATATATGTAATATATATAATATATATATATATATATATGTAATTATATATATATAATATGTGTGTAAAAATACTAATTATTATTAGCTATCTGTACTAGTCTAAAAGGTGCATAGTGACATATTATTATTATTAGTAGTGGTATTATTAATAGCACAATAATGGCGTGCAAAATCTTCACAATATTGTGCAACTTGAATTATCCAATCATGTGCCGATTAGATAATTAAACAGGAATTTTCTGTTCACCTGATTGGCTAATTGAAGGGAATAGCCACATCATTTATTATGTGAAGATTATCAACACCTTTAGTAAATCAACCTAAATGTGTCCTTGTGGGCGGATCATTGCATTCTAAATTCTCAAAAACAGCTAACATTTGTATGTTTTAAAATGTGACCAGCTTTGTGCAGAATAGTTAACATTAAAAAAATATATAATATTGAATATACTGCATTTTTAAATTGTTTTATTTTTTTTTATTGAAAAATAATACATTTTGAATTGCTAAAAAGCTTTTTAAGTGAAATTATATTTTTTAAAAGATATTTAAAAAATGTTTGTGTACTAACAAAATAAAGGGAGTTTTTTATTAAAAAAAATAAAAATAAATAAAATTCACACTTTCAGGTGTTACACTACCTTTCCTGTTCAGATTCAGAGAAGTGAATGCAATACCTAACCTATGAGTTGGCTTGAAGAGATTTCCCCACATTGCAGGGGTTGCAGTTTACACAATTACTTGCGTGTAAAAAATGACTAATGCATACACACAAAAGAAAAATTCGTGACTGATTGATTGTTTTTGTAGAAATTTAAACCCTCCAGTCCTGCTTCCTGCCTCCAGATCAGGGCAGAGGGTGGACACTTACTTGTCTGCAGCATTCTGCTTTCAAAATTCCTCAACTGGAATACAATGAGCATTGCTGGATCTTCTTTTATTTTTCAAGATCACGCCATAAAAATCATTTTTTTCTGCATTATTAAAAATCAAACCGCATAATTTTTTATTTCTACAAGGCTTGCAGAAATTATGTCTTTAAAATCAGATCGCTCCAAGGTTGTAACTTTCACTTTTGTTAATATAAGGTTACAATGTGATTTACTAGAAATGTCAGAATGAAATTGTAACCATTAGAAAAATGTAACAATATAGAAACATAAATAGAATATATTCCAGTATGTGAAAAATATAGTTGTTTTCTGGCATATTTTGGGTTCGAAAGGTTAATTAGGGTGATTTTTAGAAAACAAAAATAAATCTGGGTTTTCTAGGGTTCATGAGTCTGGGACGTGCAAATGTCTGGCAGCCAAATGAATGTTGCGTCTAAAATGAAATGTCGCAGGTCGGGTATAATGTAGACTGCTGTAATGTGTGCGACTTTTTTTTGTGTTTGTGAAGGACAGTGCAAAAATATTGTGAATTTGTTTTTAAAGAAAGAAATCCGGTTTCTTCGTGTTTCCATTTAGAAGGGAGAGAATGTGTCAACTGTGGAGCTACAGCCACCCCACTGTGGAGGAGAGACGGGACCGGCCACTACCTCTGTAACGCCTGCGGGCTCTACCACAAAATGAACGGTCAAAACCGACCACTTATTAAACCGAAACGGCGACTGGTAGGTGCCAACCAGGAGGCATTGGGGGGGGGACAGGGGCTCCTTTCATGTACTACTCATTTTCTGCTATATATGTCTTTTTAATTGCCCATAAAAGAACATTATTATAAAACAATTGTTTATTCACTTAAAAAAAGCGGCTCTAGACTCCTTTTATTTACTCCATTGACCATCTTGTTTGCGAAGCTAGCAATCTATTTTAAGGGATGGCAAGAGACAGGGTAATGCCATAGCTTACTACGTTGCTGAACCTAGTCCAGAACATTTTCAGTACAGTTTAGGAACATGGTCCTTTAAATCACTTGGCTGCGGAGCTGGCAATCTGCTTTAGGGCTTGGCAAGGGACAGGAACAATGCCATCGTTTACTCAGTTGAGCTTCTTGTTTGTAAAGCTAGCAATCTACTTTAAGGAATAACAGGGGACAAGTCAATGTCATAGCTTGCTATGTGGCTGAAACTGGTCCAGATTACTTTCAGTGCAGTTTAGGAACATGGTCCTTTAAACAACTTGGCTGCAGAGCTAGCAATCTACTTTAAGTATTGGTAAGGGACAGGGGCGGGCTGACAACTCATGGGGCCCCCGGGCAATAGGGGATTATGGGGCCCCTGTGTCCTTGCCTAAACTCAAAAAAGCCTATGAAAAAGGTACCAGGGGCATCTCATGGGTCCCCTTACTGACCCCAGGCCCTCGGGCAGTGCCCGAGTTTCCAAATGGTCAGTCCGCCCCTGGTAAGGGACACGTCAATGTCATAACTTGTTATGTGGCTGAAACTGGTCCAGATCACTTTCAGTGCAGTTTAGGAATATGGTCCTTTAAACCACTTGGCTGCAGAGCAAGCAATCTACTTTAAGGAATACTAAGGGACGGGTCAATGTCATAGCTTGACATGTGGCTGAAACTGGTCCAGATTATTTTCAGTGCAGTTTAGGAATATGGTCCTTTAAACCACCTGGCTGCAGAGCTAGCAATCTACTTTAAGGAATGGTAAGGAGCAGGGGCAATGCCATAATTTACTCAGTTGATCATCTTGTTTGCAAAGCTTGCAATCTACGTCAAGGCATGGCAAGGGACAAGTCAATAAACAAGATCATTTTCAGTACAGTTTAGCAGACGTTTTCCTTTACGTCACTTGGCTGCAGAGCTGGTAATCTATTTTAAGGGATGGCAAGGGACAGGAGCAATACCATATTTTACTCCATTGTGCATCTTGTTTGTAAGGCTAGCAATCTACATTAAGTGATGGCAAGAGACAGGGCAATGCCATAGCTTGTTATGTTGCCGAACCTAGTCAAGATAATTATCAATACAGTTTATAAAAATGGTCCTTTAAACAACTTGGCTGCAGAGCTGGCAATCTAATTTAAGGAATGGCAAGAGTCAAGAACAATGCCATCATTTATTAAAATGAGTTTCTTGTTTGCAAAGCTAGCAATCTACGTTAAGGAATGGCAAGGGACAGGTCAATGTCAAAGCTTGCTATGTGGCTAAAGCTGGTCCAGTTCATTTTCAGTACACTTTATGAATATGGTCTTTTAAATAATTTGGCTGCAGAGATAGCAATCTAATTAAAAGAATGGCAAAGGACAGGGACAATATCATAATCTACTGCACTGAGCATCTCGTTTGCAAAGCTAGCAATCTACTTTTAGGAATGGGAAGGTAAAGAGTCATTTTATAGACTGCTATATTGCTGAACCTAGCTTAGATCATTTTCAGTACAGTTGAGTAATATGGTCCTTTAGGACACTTGGCTGCAGAGCTAGCAATCTGTTTTAGGGGCAATAATCAATTTGATTTAGTTGTTTTTTTAATGGTTAAATGTGGTCTGTAAAATGTTAAGGATGTGTTCCAGTGTTTGTCCGCAGAGCTAGCAGTCTTTTTCATGTGATGTGTTAGGGCTGATTTACTAAAGGATATTAAAATCTTTACCAAAATTTGGCTGATTTACTAAAGGAGTTGGGAATGTTCATCCGCATGATTCACTTTAATGATCAAATGATGTGAAAAGCAAGTTCTTGTTTCACTTTTCTTACCCCATCAAGTGCAGATACTTGAATATTCACTCAATTTTTTGAGTGAAGATTCCCAACTCCTTTAGTAAATCAGCCAAAATGTAAGAAGTTTCTCAAACGTTCCAGTTAGATCAACCTCCTTATACCAGTTTTCCTCCATATTTGTCTGCTTGCTCTGTTTGGGCTTGTAATGTCCTTTTGAACATATGACCCATTTGGGGACAAGTCAGGGTATAGGTGACCTGTCTTGTACTAGTTACAGAATTTCCTATAGTTCTTATTTCATGCAGACCAGTCTGCATGCACAGGGTAGGTGGTGTCATTTTGTTTGGGCTGCAGAGCTGACAGTCTATTTATACAGAGATCTACCCAAAGCCTTTTATAGAAATGATCCAGGATCGATTTGGATTTCTACCTGTGCACCAATGATCCTACATACCTGCAGAGCTGGATGGGAGTCCACTGGTCGGTTGTGACTGATGCCAGAAATTGACCTAAAGGGGATTCAGCAGGGATCAGCTCCAGGATTGATGTGTTTGTTTTCAGCAAGCTTTCAGCAGAGGTTTTGACATCTTCCAATTCATCAGACCTGGTGACATACAGCAGCCTTTACATTGCTCATGCAGCCTTGCGCTGACCTTTGCTGGAGGGTCACTTCCAGTAAATGGAGAGACTACCTGCAACACCCAACTGTTTGTTTTGTTATTCCTCCCAAATCTAGGGCTAAAGAACAAGGGCAACTGACCTAAGCCTTCCCCTCCAGGGCAAATACCTAATAAATGGCTGAGCAGTTTGTTTATGGGCAAATATACCACCCCCCTTTAAATACTTAAATTAGATTGTAAGCTCCAAGGAGCAAGGCCCTCCTAACCAGGGGCGGACTGACCATTTGGAAACTCGGGCACTGCCCGAGGGCCTGGGGTCAGTAGGGGGCCCCATGAGATGCTCCTGGTACCTTTTTCATAGGCCTTTTTGAGTTTGGGCAAGGACAAAGGGGCCCCATGATCCCCTATTGCCACGGGGGCCCCATGAGTTGTCAGTCCGCCCCTGGGGGTGTATTTAGAAATCTGTCCTTACAAGTTACGGTTTGGTTTTACAATCTCAGTACAACACATTTAGGCCTCATTCACACAGCCGAAACACAGTCAGAAACATTTTGCTGATCATTAGGCAAGGAACAAAAGCTCCTGTGTAATGACTAGCAAACAGATCCGATTTTTTTAATACCTCAAAAATTTCCTGTTTTTTTTTTTAATGGTATATGTGTAATGCGCATATCCTCCGATGGGTGATTTTTGGATTTTGTGCTATGGATCTGAATGTAGTGCATGTTTCCATTCAAAACAATGCACTTGCGTTTTTATGCATAAATAAAAAACAGTTGTAAATGTGATTTTTTTTATGGCCATGTAAATGAAGCCTTTCCAAAACTGCATAATATGAGGATCTTCCTAGACAATCTATACTTTTTTATCCAGTTAGGTGGGCACTTGCGCTACATTACACCGGGGTCAGTAGGGGGCCCCATGAGATGCCCCTGGTACCTTTTTCATAGGCTTTTTTGAGTTTGGGCAAGGACACAGGGGCCCCATGATCCCCTATTGCCCGGGGGCCCCATGAGTTGTCAGTCCGCCCCTGCTCCTAACCCTCTTGCATTGAATTGTATTGTTGCCGTATTGTCTCTCTCTTTATATTACAAAATCACTGAGCAAACTGTTGGACCATATAAATCCTGTATAATAAAAAGTGTACAGCAAAGGGCAGTAAGCCTGCAATCTAATTAGCGGCTATAGGTTACTGTAGTGTGAACAGCAGAACTACAAATTCCAGCATGCCCTGAGCTCTGCAATCATCAGAGACCGTCTACTAAAAGTAATTTCTCTGATCCAGACTAACGGAAAAAAAAATCTTTCAGATTAGCGCAGCTAGCATGGAAATGTCGCAGATGCGATCCAATTGCGAAACAATTAGTAAACTCGGGCTTGGGCTCACTGCAAAGGCTCCAGACCGACCTAATAGCAACAAAAAAAGTCCCTTTTTTTTATCAGCCTCATAAATCAGGGGAACCACCCCAGGCTTAATGTGCCTTTCTAAAAAGGCCATGGAGTCATTTCACTTGTGTAGTCTACAAATTGTGCAAAGTATTTTTTTTTTTCTTCCCATCCCCCCCCCCCCCCTTCTTTTTTTTCTGCACCACTCAGACAATCCATGGATTTTTTTTTTTTTATAAGCTATTCATTTTCCATGGAGTCACCTACACTTTGTATTCAGGACCTTTTCTCTTTGTTGTAATGGCAACATCTGATCTCATGCTACAAGTTTCCTATCCGGATATCTGCACTGGGCTGATAAGGAAACCTAGGCCCTCTGTTTCCGGACATAAAAAAAGAAAAAAAAAAATTCAAGTTTACCCTAGGCGAGTCTGGCTGTTTTCGAATATCCAATACTTTGCATATATTGCTGTTGAGGTTAAGAATTATAATTGTAATTTTTTTTTTGGGTACAGCGGCAGGGCTTTTGTTTTCTTGGAAAGGGAGCAGTCTAGTTAACCGTTTCAGCGCTGGCTGGGATAGAGTGGCAGTTGGAATTCTTGGAGAAATATGTGGGACTTGTTCATGTGGAAGGGGAATTCCTCTGAGTCACCTTGCTGGAGAACAGCTCTTCTCTGGCTAATTGACTTTCAAGCTTAGTAGGCTGGAATCCCTGGTGGGGGCATTGTTAAGAAGCTTGAAAAAACAAATTATTAAGGACTTTGAAATGATGGAGCACATCCTTTTCTTACAGACACCCCCCTCCCCTCCTCCCAAGTCACAATTTAATGTCATATTTTAGATATAAAGGACAATGCTGGGGGGGAGCAGTGTATATATAATATATAAAATATAAACTTAGTTTGCTGCCAGCTTATCTATGCTATCTGTATAAAATGTGTTTTGGCCCCAATACATATGATAAAAGGAATTTCCTGGTGTTGGGTCCTTGGACCC